ATAGAGAGTTACTAGATATATCCTTTTAAGAAGGAAAATAAACCACATGCAAACACACACGTACTGCATGGATATACAAATATTACAGAATAAAATAATGAACTCTATAATGTTTGACGTACTTTTGGTTTCATGCATATGATTTTACATAATACTAATAAACTATATACGTACTGTTTAAGGTACTTTTGGTGTTCGTACATATGATTTGATGGGGCCTGCCTATAATTCGTCTTGGTAACATCTCTATCAAATGAAATGTTATGTTTATTTTTCTATTCAAATGCAATGCTTTATACTACAATTAATTGTAAGGAACCACAATGTACTATGGATAATTTATTGTTTCTATGATTAAATATTTCGGATTTAAGATCTCATAACTTTAAGAAAACTTCATTTTAAATATTTGTTATTGATTAGTTTATATATGATCTCATATTTTGGATTACAGTTCGTTGTAACTATAAAAACAAAAAATATTAGTTTTTCTGCATTTTATAATGATATAAGAGTTTGAAAATATATTTTTTTTAAAAGAAAAGGAAAGAAAAAGGTATTAAAAAAAAGCAAAATATTTTGTTGGTAATTTCTACCTCATACACTGAAGTGGGTAATTTCTACCTCATACACAGGTATCATCTAAAAAATTATTATTATATCTATAAACTGAAATATCATCCAAATATGGACCTAGCCAACAATTTCAATTGATACCGACTTCTATTTATGTTTTCTTTTCCTTAAAATTTCGCAGATTTGAAGAAAAACACTTTGTTATCAATTGTGCATTTCTCTTTTGATATAAAGCTGAAATATTATTTACACCAAAGAGTTGTCATTTACTTTAATTTTTGAGAATGCGGAAAAAGTGAAAACCGAATATGTATAAGCCATGACTCATTTACCAAACAGTAGACTCCATCCACAAATTTTCTTCTTCTTACCTTTTTCCCGTTTTGTTGAATGATAATAAATGTTTGATATATGCATCTCGTAAGAACATTAGTAACTTGTTAGGTTAGGTTTCAAC